ATATATTTTGAAAGATGTAAGATTGCAGTGAGCAATGGCCTTCACTTTCAGTATTTATGAAAGATATGCAATCAGTCCTCTCTTTCAAAGGCGAAAAAAATAAAAAATAAATTTTTATTTTAAAATATATTTATTTCAGAATTTGATTCTAAAATTCTAAATTTGTTATTTTAAAAGTTTATTTTAGTTTATATAAGCGGCAGAAATTTAACGGAATCTTGGAGAATAATAGTTTAAAAACAGTATTATGTTATTTTTTTTCCAGGAAATTGTACGTTCTTTCGTTTTACTTTTTAGACTTGTCGGAGTGCCAGCTCATGCAAATCCCAGACGCAGTCTACCATCTGATGCGGCACACAGAGCTGAAGAGATGCGACCTCTCCGGCAACGTGATCACAAAAATTCCAGCCAAGTTTGCCGTGAAATTTTCATTAATCACTGGTGAGGGATAAGCTAGAGTAGCTTCAGATTGCTGTCTTTTTCTCTATTTAAAATTTATTTTCTCTATATAAAATTTATTTTTAAGAAAATTCTTTGCTTAATATCCCACATTATTCAACAAAACACGTTTGCAGAACTAAATTTAAGCCACAATCAAATGAGCAAACTGCCTGAGGAATTAGCCGAACTGCAAGCTCTGGAGAGACTCGATATCTCGCACAACACTTTCATCGCTCTACCATCTGTGGCTTGGCGGATACCGCACTTGAAACGACTTCTCGCTAACAACAATTTTATCATCGGTTAGTACCGATTAATTTACTATTATATAAGATTTTATATAAGTATTATCAGTATTTCAAATAAATAACGGGTATAATACATCTACTCCTCTCTGGATGAGGAGTAGATGTATCCATTTTTAGGAAAATATCCACAAAAATAACGTAGTTAAAACTTAAAATAGTTTAGATATGCATAAGAAATATCGAACTACTACAAGGACTAAAATCGAATTATTTTGATTCCTGATACTGCAAATCGAAAAAAAAAAAAAGATTTTATGCTAATTACTGCATTTCCATCACGATCAAAGTAAAAAGACAATTTTCCCGGACAATTTTACACGAACTAATAAATTTTCTTAAAATGACTTAATAACATTGTTGATTTTATTCTGTAGATGTTGACGTCGAGAGGCTTAGGCACGCACCTGTTCTAGAATTCATTGACCTGCAAGCGAATCCCCTTCCACCGAGATTGCACGATCTTCTACGCACTCTGACCAGGATTACAATCGAGCTTACTCCTCGGCAAATCGAGGATTGGGAGGACTTGAACGTTTAAGTCATTTCCTAAGCGAGAGCAGTCTATTTCGCGACGGAAGACGACGGAGAGACGGTTCCGACCTTCGTATTCTCTTGACGAAAATTGCTCAAGACTTTGCGCGAATTAGAAGTAGAATCAATATTTTGTACAGTGATAATGCGAGCTGTGTGATAATAAGTGTCGCGGATTGTAAATCAATGGTTCGCTTGTATCTTTTGTAAATGTCACTAGTGATTTATATCTGTACTTAATTATCACGGATTTGTTACTGATCTCACAGAGATCGATCGATCCTTCGTTTTTTTCTTTTATATCGCATGTATATTTAGATTTTATCAAGACACTAGCCATGAATGACGCTGTTGTGATCAATTATATATTCAAGAATTTTTAGACCTTATTTATGAATGTTTTAGTATCAAAACACTTTCAACGTCGAATTTTTGGCTTATAATAAATGATTGAATTGCTTAAATTATTTGAAAGATTTTCTTGAATCTTTGGATTTTTAAATGACAAACGTGCGATCCCTAAAACGTGAAAGTCTCGGATCTTAAGACTTAAAGCAATATTTGCAAATTATCATTTTGTCGTTTATGAATATAATTAACTTACATTGACTGTATTTTTAGCATATAATAATTTCTGTTTGTCAACATTACAGACACGTTTACCGCTATGAACTGCCGATACATTATATAGCCGGCACAATTTTTTTAACATTAACATTTTGCACTCGAGTATCTGAAAATATAACCGACGAAAAGTTACAATTTTGCTCGAAAATATTACTGTATAAAATATTACAAAACAATGTAAAAATAAAGATACTCTGTCATTTTATATATTTTTAATTTAAAAATAAAGACTTCGCAATTTTTTTGTAAATTACATTTTGAGGATATTTCATATGTCTTATATTAACTCGGAAGTGAAAAGATTGATACTTCACAAATTAACGAGTTTTAAATAAACTCTGACTTTACAGCTCGAGCACAAAGTGTTAATAACGAATGACAAATATATCTACTATTAAGCAGCAGCTTTGCGTTTGGATATAGAGTGCCCTGTAAAAAAATAAATTATTTGCAATCGTAAATTTTCAAATGTTTCTGCGAGATTATGCGCATTTAGCGCGTCAAATAGTGATTATAATTATAAATTCGTTTTATTTTCTTGTGCTTTTGATCTAGTCAGTCATTCTTAGACATACGGGTCTCAAGAGTTATGGACACATAGCTTTATTAAGTTTCGAATTTACGGACAGTTGCATCTATGGCATTTAAATAATCTTACAGAATTTTTGGATTTATAAATTCTTGATTATTTTAAGTTCTAAATTGAAAAAAATGCAATACTAATGAATCCGTTAATCTCCAATTACATCCTCAGATCTGCAAAAATTTGAATGTAACGTAAGACATCACAATGCTACAGCAGGAGAAACACGAGAACACATTTTTTCAATCGTATTTTGCAGGATATTGCGCGCTTAGTCTATACTTCCTAATTACAATGATTATCGCAATTTGTACCGTTTATACGAATGTATCCTATTTTCATGAGAGAATTTGCGGGTCAGTGAAGTTATTGGCTCGTATTTTATATATATTCTCGCTGCTTCAATGCGTTAGTAGTTAAAATTTTGTAAGATGTGTGTCACAATCGCGCGTATATACAGTTTTCGTAACAGAGGAATAGAAACTGCGCAATACTTTCAAAACGGATGGATAATATTTTCTTCGTTTATATCTTCTATATTACGTAAAATAAACTATTTAAAAATTGTCGAGCTAATTCGTACAATGCATATATGTACTGTTTATTAATAAAAACACGTGAACTACTTTCGTAGAACATATTAGCTCTGACGAATGGAAGATCAACGTTCTACATTCAGCCATTAAAAGGGGAAACCTGGTTTAGAATGCTAAAAATCGTAAATTAATATTCCTGTTTCAACGCTGTTCTTATATTACTTAAGAATATTAACACTATTTTTACTGACAAATATCATTTTTTATTAAACAAGTTCGTAATCACGGTGATTCGGTGCAGTTAGAATAACCTAATAACTGCTAATAACAGTTTAATTCAACACATTAATACTCAACGCAAAAGAGAGTAAAATGATTTATTGGACAATAAGAACTCCGTTGCAGGAGGAAATCAATCCCAAAATTTTCGGACTGTTTTTACAATTAGCGCCCATTTTGGCAACGAATTATCAATTGTTACTTTTCCAAATTTTTACAAATAATGCAAATATTATGCAATTATCGAATATTTTAATAATCACTTAATCGATATTAATCACAATCTTATAATACACAAGATCAAGATTTACACGTAAAAATATATTCTTTATATTATTACAAAATACAGTATCTTAACAAAATATTATAAAAAAAACATGGATAGAATATAATTGTTTATCGAAGGATAGTTACAAATGATTATATTTCAAAGTAATAAAATACATACGTCATTATAATTTATTATATATGTGAGTACAAGAATTCTCAGGTACCAACTTCAAGACGAATCGAACCGATAACAATGAGATTTGAATTTTATTCATTTTTTCATCTTATTTTGATTTTAAAATCGAATATTATTAATGTAAAATTTATATCAATCTTCTTTTTTCTACAGCAGTTATTCAAATGTAGTCAAGTAATTAAATAGGGTTATCTAAATAATTAATGTAATATTTAGATAATTAGAGCTATCAAAATCTTATTGATATTGGGGTACCCTATCGATTCGTCTTGAATTTTCAAGTACGCACATCTTTATTTACGTCCATTATATTATTACAATAAATTATTTAAATAAACATAAATTTTTTTGATAAAATGTTATCACATAAAAGAAGCTAAACATTTTTTGCATAATATATAGATCGCGTATGTATTTCATTATACAAATTAATCTAAAAAATTTTTTAATTAATTAATATTTTGGAATAAAGGGATGCCCAGTGCCTGAAAACAGTTCCTTAAAAGAAACTAAAGATTAAAATAAAAAAATATATTCATTTGTAACCACATTTTTTCTTAAAAAAATCGGAAAACCGACTACTTAACAAAACTTGTAATTTTAGTTTATATAATGTAATTTACTTATCTATAAACAATTGCCATCCATGTTCAATCCTTTAAATCTTATTATTGTTAAAGCAGTATTAACTAATGAAAGAATATTTAATAAAAAGAATAAATTCTTGTCTCAGAACATACTTTATATTTAATTAATTTCATGATTAGACTTAAAAAATTATATTGCCGTAGTCGTTAATTTACTGCTTTCAGAGAATACAAAAAAACCGTTTATTAATTAATCGATTAATTTCAACCCTGCAACGGTCGAGAATCCCCAGATTCAATGAAGCACTGAAATAGGCATCTCGGATGGATGCTACGCAAACTGACGAGAAATAACTTTCCACGTTAAAAATCATTACTCTCCATCGGTACGAATTACAATATTTATGTCTACTACTCGGCGTTAGGAACAGCCACGATCAAGCCAATTATCGTACTTATAAATATAAAAATAACGCAATATGTGTATTAACTTTTAATGATTAACGTATTTAATACAAAACATAATCTAAGAATTCGGAAAGAATTAATTAATATTTAATATTATATACTTCACGAATACGCTTTATTTTGTAAAAACAAGATAAAATAAGGCGTTTTGCAAATTCTAATAAACAAATTCTAATAAAAAATTTGAAACTTCGCTTTTAAATATATTAATTTACTTATGACATCGTGATGTCTAAGACATGAATGTTAATTTTGTGAACAAAAAACTGTATCTATACATATACTGTCAGTCTTCAATTAATTATTATAATATATACCACATAAATTATAATTTTTAACACGGAATTTTAAATGAAGTATTTCCCG